CGAAAGTCCCAGCACGCCCCAGTACGGGCGCGCGCCCAAAACCAGATCATGTCGCCGTGCCCCGCCATATGATCTCGCCCCCCTCCTCTCGTTCCTCTCCCACCTGGGGGCCCATCTGCTCTCCCCTAGACCCGCCAGATGTGGCAGCCGTCACGGTCCGTGCCATTGGGACTCCCGTTGTTGATGCCCCCCTAGTGACCCGATCGCCCGGACAGAAGAAACACAAGGAGGGGATGTATTGTTTTGGTGCCAGTGCGGGTGCTTGCTTCTCTCTCTCTCTCTCTCTCGTTGTTCGCCCATCCCCTACGCACGCGTGCGAGGAAGAGACGGAGAGAGAGAGAGAGAGACACAGGGACGCCGCCACGAGAGAGCATGCGCAGCCCCCAAACACAGAACCTCTAAATGAAGATAGGGCGAGGGAGGATCGGCTGAGCGCATGGACGCGCCCCTCTCACAGACCAGACTGCTGGCTGACCAGCAGAGCGTACAGACTGCGATTGGCCATCAGCTCGTCGTGGGTGCCGGACTCCAGGACCTGGCCATTCTCAATGACGACAATCTTGTCGGCGTTGCGGATGGTCGACAGCCGGTGGGCAATGACGATGGTGGTCCGGCCCTTGGAGGCCTTGTCCAGGGCGTCCTGCACGATGGCCTCCGACTCGGAATCCAGCGCCGAGGTGGCCTCATCCAGCAGCAGGATCGGCGGGTTCCGGACAATGGCACGGGCAATGGCCACACGCTGCTTCTGACCGCCGGACAGCTGGGCACCACGGTCACCAACACGCGTGTCATACTTGCGCGCCAGGTTCTGGATGAAGCTGTGGGCGTTGGAGAAGATGGCCGCATCGACGATCTCCTCGTCCGTGCAGTCGGGCCGGCCGTAGCGAATGTTCTCCTGGATGGTGCCACTGAAGAGAACCGGCTCCTGCTGCACGAGGCCGATGTTGCGCCGGATGGCCGGGATGTGGAAGTCCCGCAGGTCCACCCCGTCAACCAGGACCTGGCCGCGGACCGGGTCGTAGAAGCGCTCGAGCAGCTGGATCAGGGTGGACTTGCCGCAGCCGGACGGACCGACCAGGGCAACGGTCTGCCCCGGCTCGGCCGTGAAGCTGACCCCCCGGAGGATGGGGTTGTCCTCGCGGTTGGGGTAGTGGAAGTGGATGTCCCGGAACTCGATGCGGCCCTCCACCCGGTCGACCTTGCGCCCGGCGTCCGACAGCGGATCGATGACCAGCCGGCGGTCGATCAGGGCGAAGATGGCAATCAGGGACTTGCGCGCCTTCGAGTAGTCCGGCGCCATCGAGGCAATCTGCCCGACGGTCATGGACCCGAAGATCACGGCAATGATAGCGCGGTTCATCTGGGCGAAATCGCACCAGCCATTGGCCACGTTCTGCGCGCCATACCAGAAAGACAGGGCAAACACCCAGAAGACCACACCCTCGGCGAAGCCGAAGGCCAGGCCGGCCAGCTGCGCTCAGCCATGGAGGCGCGGGGAGGGGGAGGGGGAGGGGGGGACACGTCGGGAAAGG